CAAGGTCTCATGGGTGGGTAAGACCAAAGCTGGAATGAGCCTCTTTTGGTGCAGTGCTGAAGGGAAGAGGAGGTACCTTGCAGTGATTTTCCTGCCTTTCTTGACCTCAGAAGGGTTAATGCTGATGTCGGAGGCTTTGTCCCAAGTGGTTTGTGAGGCAACCATGGATGTGGGTGGAAAGAGCGATCCAAAGGCTCCTGTCCCCGTGATGTCTCAGCGTAGGCAAAGCTGCCCTCTGGTTGGGTTTGACAAGAGCAGGTTTAAAAGCAAGCCACAGAGATGGGATCCGACCACAACGCTGTTTCTGATGGCAGCTGAGTTTGGGAGGAGGAGAGGACATGATGTGGGGAGTCTTTGAGCTTGGTTCTTGTCTGGATTTTGCGGTGTGACAGTTTTAGGTGTTTTGGCTCTCAGTGCCACGCTAGCACACAGACAGACGTGGAGGTGCTGGGCTGTCTCCTCTGGTGGGTCCCTGCCTGCAGTCGGTGGCATCGAGGAGATGCAGCGAGGGTGTCCCGGGGCCATCAGACACCCTTCTCCATGGTCACGGCATTGCTCAGCTTGGTCCCATGCTCTCATCTGATCGACCCTCAGGGTGTTCAGCAGCTGAGGGTGCTCAGCACCTTCTGTTCCTCCAAAGCTGCTTCCATTTTAGGCCTAACCGCGTGTTTTCCTGCTCTCCGTGTGTGCTTTTATTACAAACAGCAGTCAGCTCTTCAGGGATCTCTGTATAAGATCATGATTCACCTCGTTTGGATACACTTTTTCCATTTTTTTTTCTAACGTTTTCCTTAATCTAAACCAGCATGCAGGGCTGGTTGTGCCAGCTCCGGGGGCTGAGCTTGGCCGAGCCCGATGGGGTGCATGGTCCCCAGCCGAGCACCTCGTGGGCAGAAGCAGTTGTTCCCTTTCCCCCCCCCAGGTTCCTTCAGCACTTCCTCTAAAGCTTGGCAGTTGTGGTCTTTTCATGAAATTAGAAGTTTTGAGGAAGGAGCTAAAAATACCTCAAGGAAAGCCTGGAAAGATGGTGATGGGTTTGTGGCCACTGCAGTGGCTTTGCTTTTCCCTTTTGGAGGCGGATGGCAAGAAGAGTAAAATACCATTTGTTAGCAGGGCTAGAGGAAGTGCCGGTCCAAGTATCTTGGAGAAGGAATTATTCCAGAAGTGAAGGGAATTACTGTGGTATTTCCTGTCAGGATTGTCGCTTGTTTTGTTTGTGTCGCAGCAGGGTCTACAGGCGCCAGCCGAGACGTGGGCTCCTCCGTGCCCCATGTTGTACGGAAATGCACGTGGAGAGGGGAAAGTTGCTCAGCACATACAACCCAGGAGATGAAACATCTAAATTTTGTGCTTGGCTCTGCCATTCTTCTGCTTCATAGAATGAATCATTAAATCACAGAATGGTTTGGGTTGGAAGGACCTTTAAAGATCATCTAGTCCAACCCCCTGCCATGGGCAGGGACACCTCCCACTAGCCCAGGTTGCTCAAAGCCTCATCCAGCCTGGCCTTGAACCCCTCCAGGGATGGGCCATCCAAACCTTCTCTGGGCAACCTGGGCCACTGCCTCACCACCCTCATCATAAAAAATTTCTTCCTTATATCCAGCCTACGTCTAGCCTCTTGCAGTTTAAAACTGTTGCCCTTTGTCCTTTCCTGGTAAAAAGTCTCTCTCTGTCTTATAAAGCTCCTTTTATATATTGAAAGGCTTCAATAAGGTCTCGCTGGAGCCTTTTCTTTTCTAGGTTGGGCTTTTTCTTCACACTCTTAGCCAAACCACCTCATGTCTTCGTGCCTCAGTTTCCCCTGCTTGCTCCATTACCTGCCTCAGCTTTCACAGTGCTCCATGAAACCATCAATGAAACCCTCTGCCAGAGTCAGTTTTGAAAGCTGGTGCCTTGTGGCATGGCCTTACCCCTCTCTTTGACCGCATTTAACACACACCCTTCTTGGATGTGTCTGCTCATTCTCCTACACCAACTAATGACTTCTTGATTGTGGGGAGAACAAGGCTGCCATTAACCTCATGTGACATCTGAGGGCAAGGAAGGTAAATAGCACGACTTGGATTGTGCAAGGAGGAGTCACTGTTGTCTCCATCCCTCACAAAATTGCAAAAGTGAGTAGGACCCAGCAGCCTCCACCACCTGCACCTCTTCCACGACCTTCCTTCTCCCATTTTCACGTGTGTTGAGGTCCTTATGGAGAAGATGCTGATGCTGCCTTCCTCACGATCGTGTGTTTGAGACGCTGGGTGCAGACTCACATAAGATTTTGCTCCAGCACTTGGCAGTGCCCCAGACTCCCTGTGTAATCTCAAACCAGTTGCTCCAAACCAGATTTCCATGGGTGTAAAAAATCACAGCCTGCTCCAGCATTTAGGAAGTGCTTTGCATCCCCCTGGGATTTCCTAGTGCTTTGGGCACTGCCCTTTTTTTTTTTTTTTTTTAAAGGAAAAAAGAATTTGTTCATGATAGCAGTGATGAATTCAGCTTTAGCTGTGGGTCAAAAACATGAGCAAGTCAAGGGAAGTTTGCAAAATAAAACTGTAACCAAGTTCTTAGACTATGTGTATATATATTTCTCCCTCTTTCAAATGCTTATGAGTTTAAGCTCTTTGTTTCTTTGAGGGAAGCAAAAGGTAGTGGGTTTTATATCAGCAAAAAAGAATAAATAGTAGTCTAATTAACAAATGAAGTGGGTTTTCATTCCCCTGTTGCAGCCGATGTGTTGCTCTGCTCAGAAGTAGAGCGAAGCAGTGTGGGGCAGCTGGCTTCCTTCTGCTGGCTTTGGGCCACAGCACATCAGCCCTGTTGTTGATGTAGAAGAAAAGGATGCAGCAGGGTCGTGGCTGGGTTGGTTGGTTTTTTTTGGTTTTTTTTTCTCCTTTCTCTCTCTGGAGCTTTATATGAGTGTTTTGACATTTTCCAGCCACAAGCTGTTTTTCAAAACTTATTTGTCTGTGAAATTTGTGTTGCTCAGCATAAACAGGCAACGTGTGCTCCATCCCAGCTCGGTGCAGGGCTTGGATCTGTGCTGAAAGTGAAACCTGTGTTTTGAAAGGTTTCCTGCAGCGAGGCCAGAGCTGCGTGAGCTTTTCCCCTTACACGTCCTGCTCCTTTGTAAGGAGAAACCTCGAAAGTTCCTTGCTCTGATTTTTTTCTCTTACTTTAGAGAAGGGCTTTGCAGAGTTACAGGCAGTGAACCCACACCAGCTGATTTACTGCCAGCATCCAGGAGCGATGAACCAGCCAGGCCCTGTTCAGAGAGGCACATGCAAATAAAAATTGGCATAAAAGAGGCCGTATCTTTTTTCTTTTCCAACAGCCATAATCCAAAGTGGCAATCCCACCCATATTTGCCTGTCTCTCTAGAATGATTTGGACCTTCAACACTAGGTTAGTTATGGTCATCTCTTCTCCTTCTGAATTTTGGATTGATGTAGAGTTAGTTTGGTTCTAGAAGCAAACCTGGAGTTTGTCCAAATATTGTGGGTCTGGAGAACTGGCTGTAGACACTGAGGTGATGTAAGTGCCTCTTATGCTGCTGGAGTGCCCCACTGGGTGACTGTCAGGGTCCTGGTTCTTCCTGGCCTTTCTGGAAACACTGAAAATGCCATGAGAAGAGATAAAAAGGATGCGTTTTGGATGATCCAACGTGTTTACCCTGAATCTGCTGGAGTTTTTTAAGCTTTTCAACTGAATCATCTCCAGCCTTGACTTCCTGAACTTCAGTGGGTGTTTGCAGAACTTGAGGAGCTGTAAGTTTAAAAATAAACCTCAGGACGCCCGTCCAGCTCATTTTCCTCATCAGAGACAAAGCTGTGGCTCTGCTTTGCCTCTGAGAGGATGGAAAGTGTGCCTTCATGTGCTGGCAATCCAGGGCTAGAGATAAGGCCCTTGCTCAGGAAGGGCTGTCACCCACCCATGCAGGGATTATCCCTGTGAGATGTGGGCAGCACGGGATCGAGCCTTCCTGGTGTCACACGTTGGAGGGAGGTGGTGAGCACTTTTTTCTCCATAGGAAGAAACCCACAATTTGAGGAGGCTTGTGTGCACTAGCAGGGGCAGAGCCCTGGTTAACTGGGTGACTAAATCTGGTCTGGGAAGTCAAGAGGGTTTTGATCTGCCTTGGAGACCATTGGAAAGTCCTGGCACGAGCCAAGGGATGCTGGTGGGATGCTTGGTTCAGGCTTGGTCTGAGAAGCTGAGTGAATGAAAAGGCTCCTTGTGGTCTCAGTCACTGCTAAATATGCACAAATAGAGGATGGGAGAAGTGGCTTTTACTAGTCCCTGCACAGCTGTCTGCCCAGTCTGCCCGTGACTCCGCTGTCTCTTTGGGCAAATTTAATGATTTCTCTTGAGGTGAGCAATGGGTCAGTTCAGTGTTGGCATTTACTGTGTACCGTGTAGTGATGCCTGACATACTTTGCATTTTGTGGGTCCTAACAAAGTAACAGCCACCCTCACCCCAGCACTGTTGGCTTTCAAAATCCAGGACTGTCTCTCCACTTCCATTATAGGATGCTTGCTTTTACTTCCTATTTCTTTGCCCCAAACATTCCTGTGTTCTATTAAACATCCTCAGAGCTTTGCTTTTTGGGTTTTCAACAGAAAAGCACTGGTGTAAAACCATGGGAAGCACTGAAGATGGACGGACATCAGACACTTAACATGCTTGCCCCTTTGATAACAGTGCCTTGTTCCCAACTGAGTTCAGAGCACTCAAAATTTTCCACTGTTATTAATGCTTTTTATTAAAACTAAGTTATACAGATGAGTGTCCTCTTGTTTACAGACCTTATTTTTTGACAAGCACATTTGTCAGCAGTGTGGAGTTTCCTCACAGTCTGGGAGTCCAGCAGACAGCTTGGCCCTAAATAGACTAGATGCCCGCTGGAGTTGGGGGAGCATCTCTGAGAACTGCTGTCAGCTTTGGATCTGCATGGCAATCCGGTATGCTGTTTGGGACCTAACCATTTTCTGTTTTTTTCTTTGAGCAGCGGAATGTCAGGATCAAGTTTGAATATGAAGGAGAGAAAAGGTATGTACCCAGCCCAGTCCCCCACATGTACAGGGACAAATTACTCTTTTTACTCAACGTCATCCTACTGACATCAGCCAGCTGCAGATGAGCTCACAGCAGCATTAGTTCCCCTAAAATCAACTACAGTTTTGTATGCAAGAGCCTTGCCTCGTCATCCCCTTCGCCACAAGTACCTCCTGGGATTGGCGAAGTGGTTCCAAGCTGGAAGTCATTAAATGCCTCTTACCAGGAAAATAGGGTGCCTGCTTGGATTCTTTTCTCTTTTTGAAAAAACCGGCTAACCCACAGCTGAGCTGCAACTCTAGAGAAATGTGTCCTTTGATTAGCAGCCTATGACACTTAAGATAACCAGATTTTGGGCATGGGTCCCATAAAAATAGAGCTGGGAGTTAAAGCTTGCCCGCCCTTCCCTACTTGACATTTTCATGGAATCACCTCTGCTTGGTGCTCGGTGACTCTGGCAGAGCAGGACACAGGGCTGGAAACTCACTCTGGTCCAAGTTGCATGTTAAAGCCAAAGAAAATTTAAGTAATGTCACTGTAGGACTAGTCTGTACCTGCTGATATGTACCTATAGAACTGCTGCATGTGATGGTACAGGAGAGTCACAGGATGCCAGACTGCATTATTCTCTCTTCCACCCCTCCTTCCTATTGAGAGCTGCTTGCTGAAAACGGAGATGATAAATTACTGCCCAGTGCCCAATCCTGGGTCTTGTCGAGTGAAGTGCTGCTGGACCTTCTTCTTTTCCACCTGTACTTCACAGTAGGGGGAGGAGTGGAGGAACTACACTAGGATTTTTAGTAGATATTCACGCAGGGTAGGTCAAGTCCCCTCTTGGGCATAGCAGACAAGCAGTATTTCTAGGAGTGTAAAAGCAAGGAGCAAGCTTTATGTTTCATGATAGAAGCATATAGGTCCTTGCTTCTGAATTGTCAGTCTAGCCCCAAATTCCAGTGTGCTTCTACTAAATTGAGACTATTGTTGTATTTATTTGTGTATACAGGATTATCCAGTTTCCAAGACCAGTCAAATTCAAAGAAGTGGTGCAGAAGGTCACGGATGCTTTTGGACAGACGATGGACTTAGTCTGTGTGAACAATGAGGTACTCTTCGCCTTGTTGCTATGGGAGAGTTTTAGGGTGCCTGGTGAATTGAGCAGTGGTTTGTTCTTAAGTCCCTAATTTAGTGTTGTATATGGATGTAAAGAAAAATAATCTTACTTTGTGGTTCCCAGTTAGTAAGCATACAAGAGCTGTTGTCCAGACACAGTTCAGTTGGATTCTCAAGACTCCAAGCCAAGCTTCCCCCTTCTCAAAATTATTTCAGTTAAGGCCTATTAAATGGTGACACAGGAACAAATGGCTTTCCTTAGAGCCACATGAAGTGACTGTAACCTGCTGCATGTTTGGTTTGGATATGAAGCCTTTCCATCCTGGGAGCGGTTGCAGGAGCATGATGAAGTCTAGAGCAAGAGGGACAGTGCTGCTAACACAGTGTATTTTTATCCATCGCTGGTTTTGTTTCACCCCAAAACCCCAGAACCATGCGCATGTTCTTGTGGTCAGGTCTGCACTGAAACGTGCGTCACTGTAGGTTCCTCTAGCAGGTCCTGCGGCCACGTACAGGCAGGCAAGGAACCCTCCCTCTGTGATCTTTGCATTTCAAGGCTGGAAGACCTTTCTGCTCCAGCCTTCTTCATAACACAGGCCACTGTGGTTTTCCAGCTTTTTCTTTGAGCCCAGTGCTGCCTCTGAAAGGAGGGTACTGATGAGGGCCTTTATCTAGAAGGGGGCAATCCTTGGCATCTGTTTTGGTGTTTTCATGTGAGGGAGGCATCTTGCCGTAAGCTGGAGCCACTGGACTCTTAAGGTGGGTTTGGCTTTGGGAAGGAGGAGAGGGCCAGATGACAAATAAATGGGCTTTTAAACACAAATTCTTTTGGATCTGTCCTGACAGCTTGCTTATTGAAGTATTGAAAATGACTAACAGCCTTTTATGAAAGTTTGAATGGAGAGGGAGGTTGCGAAGAGAGCTTTCTCTCCTTTGTTTTTTTTTCTTTTTCCTTTTTTTTTGTCTCTTATGTTTCAGTGGAGATTTGATCCACAAAAAAGTTGCTATTCTTTTATAATAGGTACCTCATGATACCAAAGTATCCACTGGGTTTTGGCTTTGAATGCGGTCAGCTTTCTAATCTTGGGCATTCTCTGACAGCCCTCCCGGGAAAAGCCTGCCATTGAATTCTCCAGGAATGACTCATTTCATTCCAGGTTTCTTTCCATTGGAAGAGGAATTTTTTCCAGCGACAGCAAACAGAAGCTTAAATAATGCATTTTATCCCGTGTTAGAGACTGTCTTCCTTGGCATGTGCACAGCACATAGCGGGATTGTGAGCAGGCCTTTGGGTAGTCCTGACTTCTCAGGGTTGAGAAGGACCTTCAGGGTTTTGTTTTTCTATATGTAAAAATTCCTCCTTGTGAGAACCCACACCTTTGGGAAGAGGTCTGAGCAGTTGTAATTCAAGGTTCTTATTGTGGAAACACTAGAAACAGACAAAAGTGACCTTTGGGGAGATAACCTACATGTCTGCATGGTGACACCCTGGCATCTGGCTCCTAGTGTGTTCTGGGTCAGGTTTTGGAGTCTCATGACGCAAATCTCAGCGTTAGGCTGACCACAAATTCATTAGAATTAAATGTTTCATCCTTTCTTCATGCTCAAAGGGAACAGTGCAGTAATTCTTTATTGCCATCAGATGTTTCTCTGGTGCAGTAGCACCTGGTAGACCAAAATTACACTGAGGTCAACAGGCCTCTACAAAAACTCACTAAAGGGCCGTCCCTGTCCTGGTGAAGCAGAAGTCCTGAAGCCAAGATCAGCGAGATGAGCATGCCAGCTGGGTGGAGCAGGGGCACGCATGAATCACATCCTGGTGGGACCATGGAATCAACGGGCTTGGGCTGGTGTAGATAAGAGCGGGGCCTGGCCATGGGTGTACCGCATGGGGCATGTCTGCATGTTAGTGCTAGGCTGGACTCATCTTTCTGATGAGCAGGACAGCAAAATCTGGCCTGGCCACAGACAGCGGTTGGCTGTGTAATGGATTGAAAGACTGGCTTCTGCAGCAAATGCTTGGAATTTGATCTGTATGGACTGATCAACAGCTGCTCCAGGTGTGACTAGTGTTATCTTTTTGTTTGTCCCATCTCCGTGACCAACTTTTGATGTGACCTTGAGCAGAACACTGGGCCTTGGTGTGCCACCAGTTCCCTTCTGACCTCCCCTTGCTTGTCTCCTCTGAGACTGTCCCTCAGCATCGTTTCAGAAGGTTAGGGAGGGTTAAAGCCTAGGGAAGTGGTAGAAGCCCCATTATGGGGGGGAGGTGGGGTGTTTAAAAGCATATTTAACAAATGTTTGTTTAGAATTGTTGATGCTAGTTGGTCCTGCAGTGGGCAGGAAGATGAACTAATTGACCTCTCAGATTTTTCCCCAACCCTATTTCCTACTATTCTTTGGGTTTCTGTGGTGTCTTACAGAGCGAAACCTTGCAGTAGTGTTGTAGTCAGTGAAAACTCACCCTTTGTGCTCACTTTCTTAGGCTGCAGTGGATTGACTACTGAGTCCCATACTAAAACATCAGGCTCCAGGGGAGCACACTATTTCAAAGCCAGAAAAAAATCTAATACCTCTATTTAGTGAAACTTCTGTGTAGGTAAACTTTGCTGTTCATGATGGCTGCTCACTCCATAGACAGAATAAACCCAGTTACTGGAAATGTACCTGGGCAATTACTTCCATGGTTCTGCGTGAGTCTATATTTAGTTTCGTGCCTAGTAGCTATCTGTTTCTGATATCCATACGTGCCACAGTCTGGGGAGCAAAATTTACTCGCCAGATGTGGGTAATAGGTAAAGCCAAGCTAAATACTGGCTCCAGTCCCTTCTACAGGAGGGCAATTTCTGCCTGATGTTTTTGGCTCCTCCAAAGCAGGCAAGCAAGTGCATTAATATTATGGTATTGGGAGTGAGATGGAGTGACCTGCAGAACATTTTGTTCAAAGCAGCTGCTGAGGGATTGCAACTCTGAACACTTGTGAGGAGCTCAGTAAAGAGGTGGGTGAGCAGCAGGACTATATTTACAGCTCAGAGTCATAAATTCTCTTGATGGTGAAGCAGCGGGAGGAGCACCTCTCCATCGTTCTCTTTCCTGTCTGGGTGAGTAGAGGAGGCTTTTCTGCTTGATGCACCTGTGGAGCCCTTGTGAACTTCAAGGGGATTAAGCAGTGCCCCAAGAGAATTTCCCTTAAACTCTGCTGCTTAAGGAAGCAGACTGTGGGGACAGCTGCATAGCATTTGGGAGACTTATTCAATCTCTCTGGTATATGCTGTGACCACGGGTGATTCATTCAGATCCCAAAGTTTAACCATGAAAAATTGTCTAACCGTCTACTCCAAGGACCTAGTGAAAGCCCTGAATAGTTGATATCTACCTGGTGAATCCTTTCACTCATGTCCAAGCCCTGTCCCAGACTGGGAATCTGTTTCCAGCCTTGCTTGTGAGGCCCAGCCCAGCCAAGACTGGTGTTGGTGTTCTCTGTAAGCCCCTCAGCTGGTTAGGTCCCTTACTTGGCAGGTAAGGGACATCTTCCTAAGCTTTTCTCTTTCCCATCTGGTTTGGTTGAGAACTCAAGTCCTTTCCTTGACAGGCTGCAGGGCATCCTGGGGTACGGCTTGCTCAAGAGTTCCTCTTGAAGTCTTTTTCCTAAACACAAATAACTAAATAGTTTTCAGACAAAGGCTGCATAACCTGATTATCCCTCTTCCTGGGTGAAGGTGCCAAACGCTTTGCTCTAGAGACTCTTCTTCCATCTTTAGGTAGAAATTTCTCAAACATATTTGCATGCCTCACACCAGAAGAGCATACCTAGTTCAGCCTGAAGTTCATTACTTAAATATCTTTTGAGAACTGACCTTGTCTTTCCTCAGCAATTACCACTGCTTCCCACAATCACACCTGGCAGCTTCCTTTTCTCACCTGTTAATCTCATTTCTGGATATCTGGCTCTCCCATGCCTGCTGTAGGGTTCCTGGGTCTGGACCCAGACTGTGAACTCTACAGAGCAGCAGGTTGCGTAAAGCTTAGGTGTTGCAGTGCCCCTTTGCAGACCTGGTTTTTAGTATCTCAAAGCTGGGTGCCTAAGTTAGATATAAACCCAGGACTACCTGCTATCCACAGCTGCGGGAGATCAGCTCTTTTGGTGGGATTATGATGTTAAGCCTGATGTTTAACATTTAAAACAGATGGCCAGCATATGGCTTAGTTCTCTGTCTGCATTTTTGTAGAAAAGACAAAAGATAACCTTCCTATCACACAGGAGAGGAGAAGCACAATCCAAACCTTGAGTTGTTCCCACTGCAGAAACAGCAGCCGTGTGGACACCCAAGATGGAGCTTGGTGGACTCACACCGTGGCTGCTGGGTGGAAGAGGTGACTGTAGCAGTTGACCAAGATGAAACCTCATCTCTTGGCCAGGGCTCACAGCCTTCACTTGACCTGGTCATCCCCAAAGTCCTAGCCTCAGTGCACACAGTCTGAGGTGTATTTACCTACGGGCCAAGAGCCAAACCCTTGGCAACACCCTGGGATCAAAAAGGGAGACACAGGCGGCTTTTGAGTGTCTTCTTCTGGAGTGGTTGATCTGAGGTGCGTTTGCTGTGGCTGGTGGCATGAACTCTGATCACCCAGAGGGCTGAGCTGCCTTTCAGCAGTTCTGGGCAGCTGTGGCTCCCAGTAAGACCAGTGAGATCCTACTGGGAGCTGTGGCCACTCAGTCCCTTTGGTAGGTGGAACTGCTGTGTGCTTTGGCACAGGCATGAGTAAAACATGTGCTGTGTTGGCTGGATTCAGTGCCAATGCCCGAGGCAACCTACAGAGGCTGAGGGCTGGTTTTTATGAGATCAGGCAGAATGCCCCTGAATGAGGGGCAAAAAGTTGTGGTTTTAATCTTAGCCCAGGGCAGCAGAAAGCCACAGAGCTGCTCTGAAGTGCAGCTGTGTTGAGCATTTGAAGCTTTGCAGGCTTTCTGCAGGAGGTGGTACACCACACAGCAATGTCAGGTAGGTCAAATTCCCTCTGGCGATATGAGGGCCATAGTCTGCCACTTACCAGGAATACTTCAGGACCATTAGCTGCCTGCTAGACACGACACTGTGTAGGTCTCTGTTCTGTTCACCTTGTAAAGAGCAGAAGCTGAATTTGTCCTGCTGCGAGTCAAAGAAGTGGTTCTTGGAGGGAAAGCAATACACACCTTTCACATCAAAAGGGGAGAGACTCTTGTTTGTGAGATGTTCCCTGGTTTCACCTGATGCCCAAACACTAGGGAGACTGTGTCAGTGTGCAGGAACGCAGGCTGCAGAGGTAGGGCAGACCACTGAGGATTGACCAGAGTAAATCCTTGGGTTCAGATCACTGCTTTCTTGGAGCACCACTGCATGCATAGCCATCTTCCCAGGAAGAAACCCAGGAATTGTGTGGGGCTGTTTTGGGGCTGGCTAGCAGCAGATCTTGCCTCCAAACTCCAAGATGAGAGCAGCCTCAGAACAGCCTGCAGCAAACCTAAGGTTTCATCTCATCCCTCTCCTCCTCCCACTAGCTGAATTGGTGAGGTGACCTTTAAGCTCTCTCCTTGCAGATGTTTTTTGTTGTCATTTTTTGTGTCTGTTCCTTGGTAGATGAGAACTTGGAAGAAAAATGTTAAAGCTCGGCAAGCTGGAGGGCATGGGGGCTCTATTTTCCATCCACATTCTCAGGTTCCTCCCTTGTCCCCTGATTCCCAGGCTGCTCACTGCAAGGATCTGGCTTCCTCTGTTTACCCAAAAGTGTGACACTACCATGCTCCGGTGTTTGTTCAATCCCTTCCAGCTCCTGATCCCGCTGAAATCCCAGGAAGATTTGGACAAAGCGATGGAACAGTTGGAACTGAGCCCTTCCCTGAAGAGCCTGCGAATCCTTCTGAGCGCTCCAAAGAAAGCGAATGTGAGCCCTTCACCTTCTCTCTCTTTTGTATCCGGAGCGAGATCCCTTGTTATTGTATTGGGGAGTGGAAACAAGTCTCCTGACGGTACAGAGCAGAGGGCAAGCTGGTCATGAACGGGGTCAGCCCTGGCTCAGCCGCTCGGAAATCCTCCCATGGTGGCAGCCCAGAGACAGAGCTCAGCTCCCTCTAGCTCCTCCTGCAGCCTGTGAAGGGTTAAATACTGCACTGATCCTCAAACAAGGTTAGACCCAAGAGAACCCCTTGTGCTTTCTGCCTAGGGATGCTGTCACCATTCCTCTGTCGCCTCGCCAGGGTGGTGGCCTTGGCTCTTGCCGTGGTGAGTGGCCGTGTGGGGACCATTCTGTGTGGTGCTGCAGTACTAAAGGCCAGGGAGAACAAACTGGAGAATCCCTCAGTCTGACATACGACTGTCTTTTTTTCCACATTATTTATTTATTTGTTTTTCCTGAGCTCAGTGGTTTTGCAGTTAAGCCTGTTAGCTTGACCTCGCCTGCCCAGAGCATCTTGCCAAAGCACATGTCGTGCTGCCCCGAGCACAGGCTTGTAAAGCAGGGGATTAACAGATGTTGCAACTCTGGTTTCTTCCTTGTATTTCCTAGAAATACTGGAGAGACTGTGAGTCTTGAAACTCATATTGCTTGTCCTCATGCTACCGCTGGTGCTCACATCTCCTGGATCTTCTCTGCTCCTTTTGAGAGGCTCTCAAAAGGTGCAGGGACCAGGCTCCCAGGGGAAAACTGAACTGTCAGTTGGGGTTTCCTAAATCCTGGGCAGAAATGGGGCGTTCTGCCCTGGCGACTGCAGGAGCATTGCAGCATTGCACGTCAACTACTAAGAGTAAGGGCAGACAGGAAGACTCATCCATACCTTTGAGAGTAGGTCAAACTCTTCCTGCAGCATGTAAGAAGCATGTAACCATGCTGTTCTGAGATCATACATAAAATTGTCACAAAATCAATTCTCTTAGCAACTTGGCTGTTACCATTTAAGTTACCAGCTGGCTTGGCATTCCCTTGCTTTCCCCCTGATTTGTCTTCCCTGGCAGAGCCTGATTCTCCACTCCCTGTGCCTCTGTTCTGTCAGAGAGGAGCCTCTGCAGTGCCCAGGCTGCCACCGAAGTCTGTGGAGCATGGAGGAGAAGCTCTGATTTTGGGACTGCCAACTGGGGTTCAGGGCAGGGATCAGTCTGTCTATCTATCTGGAAATAATGCTGTGCAGAACAGTCTTTTATGTCAAGTATTTGTATTATTATCAACTGGAGCTCAAACCTATTTAGAGTATATTAATAACAGATGTGAATTGCTTGTGAATGATTTTTGGATCACCCTGGATTACATACATGTCTTTTTTTTTTTTTTTTTAATGGTTCTTGGGTAATATGGTCATGGGGATCCAAATGCAGGGTTTCATGTGGTGTGTCTGCATGGCCTCTGGCAGAGTCTGATCATTCCCTTTGTCTGATTCCCAGCTCCTCCAACCAAACAACAGTAAACAGCACGAAATGAGGATCTCCAGATCCATGGGTGATATCATGGGATCCCTCTACAAGGACTCTGAGAGGACGCGGAAGCATTCAACAGGTCAGCGGAACGCAATGCTCTGTGGGGTGTTTTGTGCTATTACAACTGGACCACCATCCTCCTCCTCTTTCCTGTCACAACCCCCTAGCTGCTGCGGGCTGGACGGCCACCCTGATGTCTGCCACCAGTAACTCAGTGCAGTTGCTGCTCATCCTCAGCCTGAGGAAGAGACTCTGCAGGCTGCACGGGTCGGATGAGGTTGTGCTGAGCAGTCACATTGGGTGTGGAAGCTGAGGAGATCAGGGGATCTGAGGTGTAATTTGTAGGGGGAAATGCAGTGATAAAAATCTGCAGGAATTTGATGCTACTGAGCTTTATCAAAATGAAGAGTGAGGTTCTACAGAAAGCGAAGGCTTGTTGAGACCTTAACGTACTTATTCCTTTAACCCTCTGCTTTTGTTCTCTCAGTGTCTCTCCCCTTTTCCCAGTTAGGAGAATGATGGAGCCGCATGGGCTTGGGTTCCTTAGCTCCTGAGCCAGGACCAGCTTCACCACATAAGGAACAAATACGTGTCTCTGTGCCACCAATCTATTCTTGTTGGTGGAATGAAGTCTCTGGTAGTTGCTTTTGTAGTTTCTTAGGAGAATGGATTTGTGCGGTGTTTTGCAGTGGTCGCATTTCAGATGAAGAGGAGCATCCCATTCCTTCAGAGGTGCTGGGAGTAGATACCTGCAGCCTCTGAAGCCAGGCTGGCAAATGCCCAGTCTCTTCTTGGAGCCCTGCAGGGACTGGAGTTTGTAGCCTTGTGTGGTCTTTTCTTTGGTTTTCTGTGCTTGAGTTTATGCTTTTTGTGCTCTCTAAAAATACTCTGAGCTTTTTTGAAATCACAAGTACTCTTGATAAGCTGTCTGTAGGACCTTTTGCATGACGAACTTTGCAGTAGTTTGTAGAGGGCAGGGCACCTTGTGCAGAACTGGTAAAGCAGCCCATAGGACCCCATAGCAGGGGTATAATTATTCATATTACAACCTACAGGTAGGTTTAACGATTTTGTCATACAGTGAATGTTCTCTGCCCTGTCTGTGAGTGCTGGTTACAGGGTAATTTCTACAGATCCCTCTTGTTTTCATACAATTATTCGACAACTGTAGAAATGACACCATCAGAAGCCTTGAATAGATTGGGGCCCTCCTGTTCAAACATACATAAAGATGTACTTCATCCTCCACAGATCCTCTGTACTTATATGGTAGTAAACACTTCCAAACTCTGTGCAACAAAGGAGTATTTTTCTCCAAGGATTTGCCCATTCTCTGTCTCATAGCCTGTGTTGCCTTGATAACATATCCTGTGGTTTGCTTCATCTCAGACAATGATATATAGGAAATGTTCTTGTAGGATAGGTCCAGTGCCCTGGTGCAGCCATGCCCAACTCTTTCTGAAGCCAGGGGTGGGTGGTACATGTACAAGAGCTCTCTTTGGGCCTGGTGTTTGTGTGTGCCAGGGATGTCTTTTCTTCTGTTGTGGGGTTTGGTTTTTTTTTGTTTAGCTCATATGGCTCTTGAGAGTTTGCCCAGAGTCTGGCAGTCACTAGATGATTGTGAATGAAATGCACACACAAATCCATGGTGAGGCACAGAGCCTCAGCAGAAACTGTGCTTGACAAAAACATCTCTACTGCTCTTTCTTGGCACTTGTTAAGCTGTTAATGTAAGCCAGCAAAGAGCTGTGGCACTGGGAGCTGTCACTGGTGTGGGAACCAAGCATGATGGGCAGAATTGATCCCATGTGCAGCGGTGCTTGCGAGATTAGTTCTTGCAAAGTTAGACTTTCCTACTAACTTTTATGCCATCCTTTGGCCCTTCCTGACTGTTTTCCCGCACCACTGACTGTGAGGTGTCACTGCCTTGAAGAGCATCCTATAGACAAAGGAAGAAATGTCAACTCTGCAAGGCTGGGAGCCCGAGGTACAGATGGATTTTGAGGGAAAGCCTGAATAGCAGAGTGGAGGAAGAGGTACAACGTGCTGGTTTAATCTAGATAATGGAGGAGGAGGAGGACAAGGCAGCACCAGATGTAGGATGCAGTGTGTGCTAGTGTTGGGATCTTCAGAAGGGTCTGCATGCCAGTTGCTAATGCACCAAAACCAGTGTCCCCAGCACTGTTATATAGTTAGGTAGTGAAGGTAACCAGGCCATGCTAGTCATCCCTCTGTGTTGTTTTTTTTTCCCATGCAGACCATCAGTCTTGCTCTTACTTTGAAAAGAGGTTAAAACAAACCCTCTGCATGGTAACAGCACACCAGATCTCTCTTTGGAGTTACCTGGGGTCTACTACTGTCCTGCTGAGGAGGTGTTTGTAATCAAGCAGATTAATTTTTTTGACCTCCTGAGTCAGAACTGGGCAGAAACTCCACGGACCTGAAAAGGAGAGCAGTGTTTCATGTAGAATCATAGAATGGTTAGGGTTGGAAAGGACCTTAAAGATCATCAAGTTCATAAAACTGAAAGTCAGGCAATAGAGAGAGATGATCCTGTGTTGCTGTTCCCTGGACTGAGGATTTCACTGAACTTGGTGGATAGTCAAAAGACAGCCTAGGAGGCTGGGATTTCTGTAGGAGAAGCTATTCTTCAATTGCAGTTGCAAGGTGTTTCACAGTGTTTGCTTCTGCTGTCATCAAAGCGGTTGCTATCAAGAGCAGCTCTTAACTCAGTTCAGCTTTTCTCTTGAAACCACATTTAAAGGGAGATTTAAAGTGATTTTATTAAAAAGGTGGTTCAGGGTCATGTTCTCAGTGCTTCTGAGATGTCTCGTGTTTTTCTGCTGACTCTGCCATGTTAGCAGCAGCAGAAAATAATAAAACTGCATGTTGTTGGCACAAGTGCATTGAAAGGGGGGGTAGATGTTCTGGGGAAAATTTGGCTATTTTTGCTTCTGCTGGACAGAAAATGTCTTCACTCCATGTCCCTGAAAAACCTTATGCAAAGTCAATATTTTCTTTTTCTTTTCCCATAAACTTTTTTAAGTGGAAATCCCACCCCCCCTTTTGGTTTTTTTTTTTGGAAGTGGAAAATGTTCCAGTCTCTTGGTGACCAGCATCTGCACATGTTCAGCTGAGTGCCAGGAAACTACCTAAAATATATTTGGGTTCTGGATTTTCAGATAACAGGGGGTTCTTTTTGTTTACTTTGAGGAAATATGGTTCACAACATTACCCACAAATTCTTTAAGAGCCCCATTCCAGAATCACCATTTGAGTGGAATCATTTACCAAAACCTTTATTCTTTCTTTTTTTTTCCTCCACGGTGGCAAACCAGGCTGCTGAGCCCTGGCACGATGTGCCTGCCATTGCTCTCCAGACCAGGAGCGAGCACTGGCTGGGTCCGTGCTGTGGAATATGGCCCAGCTATGGGAACAGCAGGACTTTTGCCTTGGAGAATTGCCACTGCAGTGATGGTAGCTGAGTTTTCACTGTTGCCTGGGCGTACGTGCAGCAGCACCTAGCCCCTGCTAGCATGCTGGGGGGATTTGAATGCAGATCTCTGGAGAGAGACGGTACAAAGACTTTGCTGGTGCACAGGGTGGCCAGATGACTCTGAGAAACAAAGGCCTGGAGGTGATATCTGTGCTGTCAAATTCACAGGGACAGCTGTTGATGAGGTTGCTTAATTATTAGCACATTCCCTGGCCAACCCTGTACCAATGCCTGCCATCCCAGCAGTGCCTGGGTACAAACTGGGGTAGCATGGGCTAGGGACCTCTTGCAGGAGTTGGGATGGATGAAGCCCCCTCTGTTTTGAGAAGAGGAGGAGAATTTGGCTGTGTGCATCAGGCCAGCTGCTTTGGGGATAGAAAATGGGCTCTGTCCTCCTTATTAGTATAGAAGTACCCTAAAGTTTGCCTTAAATCAAGATCAGGATGGCCTCAGAGGATCAGCATGGAGAGTAGAGAGAGTTTTAGGGGTCCCACTGAAAAAGAAGAAATTGAGGGAGATTGGTCCCTCTGCTCAAACCTCACCTCGACAGTCACAAAGTGAGAAATTTCCTTCAGATTTCTCTCTTCTTCATGTGCTGCTGTGTCCTGAGCCCTGTGTTTCTGCCAGGGCTCGGAGGAACGGCACATCTTGACATCATGTCCCTCATTCATCTCTGCGGCGATGTCATCCCAGGGCTGGGCTCTCCGTGGCTGCAGCTGTGAGCGTAGGCGGCTGCCAACAAACCCTCCCCAGCTCTGACTTTTAAGGGGCTTCTCTTCTCCATTAGGACTCCTGCTTCATGCTGACTGGTGATGGATGAAGTTTTGGGAAGGAGCTGTCAGGACAGGGAGAGGGTGAAGCCAGGGAACACGGAGGCGGAGGGAAGCCAAGCCTGGCACAGGGGAGCTGGCTGTACGTGCAGCACCACGAACTCTGCACATACTGCATGAAAGACACTTCTTAAATAAAATAACAGAAGGGAACATGAAAGACCCTAGTAGATGCCAGCAGCGACTGTAAGTCTCTGTGCTAGCCAGGTTCACCCTGTTTGGGACATGCTGTGCTCTGGTCTCAAATATACGGCTTTACATGAGTGTGTGTAACACGGAGCAGGAATCCCTTCCCAAGGCACCTTGCCCCAAAGGGTAACTGAGGTCAGATGCTCAACTGGTGCCATTCTGCAGAGTTCAGGAATCCTGAACAGAACTGCAGAGATCTGGCCAGCATTTGGCTTATAAAGAAATGCCTCACAGCCAGCCCCATCCCCACTGGGTCTGAGGACTGGAGCTGACATGTCATCCTGTAGACCTCAGGAGGACAGTCCCTTGGGGGTCTGCTCTCTCTGCCTGGTGCTGCTGCTGTTTCTGGAGTATTCGCTCAAGTGTCAAGAGCATCCATGATGTGTCAAACAGGCACATCTGGGCTTGTCTGTCCATTTCTTCCTCTGCCTCTGGGTGGGTAAAGCAGCATTATCTGATATATCCAATATACCTTGTGTTGCCCCGCTATGAATTAAGCCTGCCATTGAGTACAACAGTTGCTTTCTCTCCCTGACCCCTATTTCACATTCCCCCCCACCAGCAGCACTGAGATTGCCCAAGGTTTTGTTAGCAGGGCGGGAGCGGGGAATTGACCTTGGGCTCTGGGGCTCTGCTCCAGACACCTCCCTGTGTCCCTCCTGGGCAGATGGGCATGCATGGATGGAAAGCAGCAGCAACAAGTGCTCCTGGAGGTGTGAAGCTGCATAAATTACTTAGAGCAGCTCTTTTACCCAAATAGCCTGGCTTGAAAGGGATCTGGTTCAATCCAGCAGTTTCCAGGCGCGCAAGAGCCCGAGCGTTTTGTTTAACTTCCTTGCCTGCTGGGAAAGGGCTAGTGTCTTATCCCCTTTTACAGTTTTTGGCAGGAAATATGACTCTGGAAGGTCGAACACAACTGACCTGATGACTGCGAGTAGTTGTTACAGGCAGAGGCTTCATGTGAGATCATGCAAAGTCTTTACGCTTGTGATAAATCTCATTTAACTCCCTGGGTTCAAAATCAAACAGTAAAATCTGAGTCAAAGACTTCCTCAGCAATGGGTGGCTTATTGCAGCGAGAGATCCCAGCCCTGCTCGAGCAGACCCACACCTCATAGTAGCAGTAACAGAAATCTTCAACAAAGCTAAGATAGAGCAGTTTGACCACACTAAATCCTCTAGCAGCTTTCTTGGAGCAAGAGCCACCCAAATGTCTTTATGCTACATTCTGGATTGACATCTGCGAAGCAAACGAGGGGATGATAATGCAGTGATTTATCCAGCGTGCCCAAATGGTTAAATGGTTGGAACGTTTGTTTATTTATCTTCAAAGAGAGGATGCCGTACTTCCCAACTGGTTTTGTTTTTAGGGCTGGTGGAAAGCCAGTTCATTATGAGCACCGCAGCACTCGAGAGGTTTTCTCCCCTTGATCTTGGCGTTACTTCAGTTGGACTTTTTTTCGCTGTGTTCTTATCCTGCAGGAAATCTGTGAAGGAGAAAATAGGAAGAAGAAAAAAAAAAAGAAACTCAAAGCCATATGACTTGCATTTTTACAATCTGAGCAAGGAGTCTGGGGGGAGACGTACCATGAGACAAAGATATCTGTGTTTGGTATAAATCCAGCAAGCCTGATTTAGTAATTTTTAATGCTGGTGTGACACTGTTAATGTTAGAAGCTCCTGATGCATATCAGCTTAAATGAAAGGTGGGGGCTTAGACTTGAAGTGTTGATCATGGTGATGGAGTTGTGCCAGAGATCAATCTGGCACAGTAACCGTGATGCAGAATAGCAGCAGAAGAGGCAGAAGTGTTGTGCTGATTGATCAGCGTTGACTTTTCACGATGGGATAGGCCCCTTCCCGATACCTTTCTCTTGCAATATTGTGCCAAGCCTGCGCATGTTGTTTCCATATAGTTGTGATGAACCAAAGAGTTGTCAGGAGTGCTGCAAAAGATGGTAAAAATTGTAAGGAAGCGCATCTCCATGTGCTTTCTAACTGTTCAAGGATGTGTGCTTTTTAGAATTCTGCATAAAAACAAGTTGTTGTGTTGTGTGAAGACTCAACATTGCACAATACCGACTGGTTAAAGCTCCAGCATGGAACAGCACGGACCTCCGTCAGCATTCCTTGCCGTGAAGTGATGACAGCCCAGGGATGGAGGGGAGGGACTGCAGAAAGACAAGCGGAGCCAAGCCTGTCCATCTGGGCTAAGTGAGGGCAACGCTCTATATATCCTGAAAAGGCACAAGGAGTCAGGGTGGATTCGGGGGGATAATGGGGAGGAATGGACTGTCAATGTAAGGAAGCTGTGGGGTTCACTTCCAGGTGCAAAATAGAAACCTCCTTTGCTAAACAGGCCTGGGGGGTGCCTGCGAAAGCCTGGATCCCGGTGCAAAGGGGGGTTCTGTTTGGTGTGGAGCCTCTGGGGCTACAGACAGGGGAGACAACCCTCCTTCAGCAAACCCGTAGGTCCTTCCCGTCCTCATGGTTCTTGGATTTGAGGGCTGGTTTTCCTTCCTCTTTACTTTTTTATAGGGAAGGGGAAGAGAAGAGGGGTATTTGAGTACAAATCGTTTTTCATGTAAGAAATGTTTAAGTGATGTTGCACTGAGTTCACCCAGGCTGTTTCGCAGCTTGCTGAACGAGGCAGTGATGTGATCCAGGGAGGACATGCCCAGAGGTCAAAGAGGGGAACTGGGTTTGGAGTTTGCATTTTGCTTTGAGATTGACTGATTGTATCACAAGAAAACTCTGCGCCCTTTTCTTTCTGGTGTTGACAGAGCACCTGGATACAGTGCACAGCTCATAGGTCCAGGGTAGGTTGAAGGCCAAGTCTGCTAGATGTTGTGTGGCCCTACAGTAATAAACTCTCCCTGTTGCAAAAGCTTTGTAGGATGCCCATGAACAGTGTCGCATCTCTAGCTCCTCTGTTCCCTTACACACAAGTTCAAAACCAGCAGCATCTCCAGGAGGTCTGTGAGCTCTGGGAGGACTTGGATGCGGCAAGTCCTCTCCTTGACCTGTGCTTTTCTCATGTCCTAGGCTCTCTGCACACCGGCCGGAGCTCTCCGCCCCCGGGGAGCGTTCCTGAAGAGCAGCAGCAGATCGCTCGCCAGGGATCCTATACTAGCATCAACAGCGAGGGCGAGTTCATCCCTGAGACCATGGATCAGAACGTAAGTGGGGCCGGGGCACATGGGTTAAACCGGGGCAACATTAGGCACAAGGCAGGCTGTGCTGTGAGTGCTGTTCCCACCATTCAATCCCCAGCAGGCTCTGCACATGGGGCTCATGCCAGATTTTTCTAGGAATGGGTGCCCCTGGGCATGACATGCTCAAGTAACAGTGGGCCTGATTTCCAGGAAAATCCTAAAAGCCAACTGCAGCGGTGATGGCAGCATGCTCAGGCACCTCAGGTAGCTCTAGAGGAGCGTAGATCTGACACACACGTGCACACCAGCTGCTGGGCCCTCCTGGCCGCAGCCTTCCCGGATCCTGGGGACCGCGAGGGAGTGTGCCAAGCAACTGATTGCCTGCGATTGCAACAGCCTGGGGATGTCAGCGGCTCTTGCTGCTTCCCATGTGCTGTTTCTGCCTGAGCTCCAGTTACAGTTCTTGGCTCTGCCTGCAGCCTCTCTCTGTGGTTTTGTGTCTCTGTCCCTCCCCCATATATTTTTTTTTTCCCTCTCTTAAGAATAAGGAGTTTGAATATTCCAGTCCCTCAGGAATAAAAGAGCAGCTAGCTCTTCAGCACAGTGATGAGCAGCACCTCTTCCTCCAGTCAGTTTGGTACCCACAATGGGGGAAACTGCATGGTTGAGGGACCAGAAGGGGACCAGCTTATACCTCCCTCTCCTTTTGCATCTCTGCTCACGCTATAGCTCCGAAGAGCTTCGTATAGGTCCTGTGAAGTCAGCTGGGCTGTTTGGGCACACAATTCATTCTTCCTCTTGGAAGGACAGGACCAGGATCCACAGTTTGCAGGAGGGCTGGCCGTGCAGGAGGGGCATAGAGGGACATCCTCACTCGAACAGACTTCTGTGATGGCCCCCAAGGATCTCGCCTGGGGAGACATGCATTTCCTACGCTCATATAGCACCCACTAGCTCCGCTTTTGTGTGTGCTGTGCTAGTGTTTCCATGGCAAAGTTGTGTTTTCAACCGTTTATTATACAGCCATTAATAAAATAAGAAGTCACTCCGGGTGAGTCTTGGCAGCGTCAGAGTACAGATGTATCTTGTGCTCCTTGCAGCCAAAAGTTGGCTTTCTGTTGTGTTCACATGCCTTCCAAACACGTTTGGTAGGATTAAGATAAATTGTGTGTGCGTGCAGGGGGAGGGTGCGCATGAATCCCCTCTTGGGTGTAAATCAGCACAGCTCCCCTGGCTGTTAGTAGATCTGTGTTAGTGCTAGCTGAGCTCTGAGCCTGCTCCTGATGAAGATTCCCAGATGCTCTCCTCGCTTTTCCCCAGCATCATACTGTGGGTGGCCTGCTGCCCTGCTCTGGAAAATTGAATGCAGGAAAAAAAAGGGGATTTGAGGATGGGCTTTTTTTTTTTCCCTCTTCTCATTGAGCAGCCATGCTTTTCCCCAGATGGGCTTTGCTCTCAGAGAGTCCTCATGCTGCAGCTTCCATACGTGCCTTGGGGAAAACCACTTACAAGGTGGTGCTTGCTGCTTTTTGGGGGTGGCCCTGTGCAAGCCTGGGATGCAGCTGTGGTCTTTGCCTTGAGACCAGCCTGGCAGATGGACAGACACTGAGTATGGAGCCTGCTTGGATTCCCCACTCTATGCTTTCCAGAAATTAAACTGTTTCAGCATTATTTTAACAGCTGGGAGAGACCTGGTGTGGCTGGCAGAGGTGGGGAGTAGGGTCTAGCAGGGGTCTTGCTCCTTTTTAGTGCACTTTGAAGGATGAGGCTTTGAGGTAAAAACTGGGAAGCAGAGAAAGAATTGCACTTTCCAGTTGGGACTGTCCTGCCAAAACAACACGAGCTGTTATGACAACCAGCTGAGGAAGGCTAAGGCAGGAACAGCTCAGGGAAGGGGAGGCTGTTCCCCTACAGGGGGAAGGAGGAGCGACTGGGTCCCAGAGCCAGTGAAGGGTGACTCCACGTGGTGTTTAACCCTCGTTGCTCAGCTTTCCCAGGAATAAGCTGGGCTCGGGGCTGGCTGTGGAGCAGGGGTCAGTGAGTATCTGCTGTGGGTCTGCAGCCAGGAGGAAGCATCCTCCCGACTGCGGCACAGCATGGCCTTGGGCAAGCTCTGCTCTGCATGGAAGTGCACATAACCCCTAGGTTTGCCACTCAATACAAACCCTCTATTGTTACTAAACCAGCTATAAATAACCCCGTCCAGTACAATGTCTCATCCAGGAAGCAACACAAATGCAGCTTTTGACTCACTGAGCTAGTGAGAGCCAAGCTCGTTCCTCCAGCCAAAAGCGCTGCTGATGCTTCGCTTATCACCAGAGAGGAAGGCTGGTCGGGGAAGTCAGGAGTCCAGGGCTGCGATCCTGGCTGTGGCACACAATATCCCCTCAACCTTGGGCACATCATTTGTGTCCTGATATATATATTTTTAATTATTTTTTTCGCAAATATTTTGAACACTTCGAATCTCATTGTCTTCTTAACATGCTTTGAACGGCAAGATGCTAATTATCTTTGCCTCAGTTTCCCTACTAGCAAATAGTGGTTGGAAAGAACAATAATCCAGAGAGAGCATTGTAAGTGGATTTCCACTGGTAAGAAAACTTTTGTTAGCTTGGATCTCATCTCTGCTGGGGCTGGCATCACCTGGTGTAGATCAGCTGGCTTTGGTAGAGCCTTGTTGACCCTGGAAATGTCTGCAAGTACTGGAGCTTGAAGAGCTACAGTGCGTGGTTTGATTGTTTTCCCATTTCTTTCACTGTCAGATGCTTGAAGCTTTCATCAGCCCTGATGAGTCACTGTCTGGGAGCTGCCAGTCACTGGACAGATCTGTGGACAGGTGAGTTGTGCATGTCACCATGTTCACAAGCTGAAATGCAGCCTCTCCTCCACCCCGAGAGAGGAGCAGGGTCAGTAGCATCCTCTGAGGTTCCTTTTGGGATGAGGATGCACCTGAGAAAAACAAAATTATTTTGAACGCTAAAACCCAGATCCTAGCACAGATGTCTGTGCAAAGGTATTAGTTGAATTGCAACAATCTGAGCTGGACAAAGTAGCTGGGGATCTGTGGACAACCTGGCTTTGTGTGCACGGGTTTTCTGCTTCGCTCAGATCCCTCTCCCACCCCTCTGGCTTTCTGCAGTCACCAGCTCAATACTCCCTTAGCTTCTCCATGCCTCCTCCTCCCAGGGCATACTGTCTGCTCTCCATTGACAGCTTGTAAATTTGGCAGCCCCTGTGCACTGCCAGCAGCCACAGATGTGTCAGTCAAGGTGCTGAGGACACCAGATGAGCAACAACTAAGTTTAGCTTCTCGGCAGGAAGCAACTAGGACACGTTGTACTAACGCGGGCTGCAATTCAATAGTTGGTGCGGCACGTTGGTCTAAGCTCACACGTGCACAGCAACAGTGTGTTTGCTGCTGGGCACAGTAGCCTCTGTATAAGACACAATGTCCTTTAGGGAAGCAATATATACTTTTTTCCATCTGCATCAAAGATTTTCTTTTTTTTCCCCTTTTGGTTTTGCTGTACAGCATCAAGGCTCTGTTCCAGCAGGTCTGTGTTGTGTTGATTTGATTGTGTAGCGTGCTTCGGATTTGCAGCTCTGTTGCGCTTTGGATCTGTCTCAACATCAAGGTCCATTTCCTTTTTGTGGCTTTTAATAATTTCCTGTGATGTATTTGCTCATTGTTACGGCTGTATCGAAGCTGGATTCCTTGTGCTTCCAGCCTCAATAGCCCAGCTTTGCTTTTACGCAGACTTTACTAGGAAGAACAACAGAAGGAGCCTGGTTGTAAGAATTTATTGTGAAGCAGAGGAGAGTGTTAGGCATGATTGTGAGAGGTGATATGGCTTGATTTCACATACAAAGAAGCAGGCAGCTGTGTTCGGTCCTGAGATTTAGGAGCTGGAAAAGACGCGAGGAGGGCTATATTCTTCAAAAGTAGAAAGAGGAGTAAGTATGAATTATTCCAGCAAAGGCGTAGCTGAGCCCTTGCTGCCAATTGCTTGAGATGACATTAGCCTCAGGAGGGCAGAGCCAGTCTCAGGCATGGTCACCAGTCTGATGATAAGAAATAACATGAAAAATTCCTCTTCACCATTGCAAACCTGTGGTGATCAGCTTTAACATGCGTAGGTTTCAGAGCACTTTGCGAAGCAGTTTTCTTCTATTATTTCCATTTTGTTAAAAGGAAGAGTGGAAAAGCAACCTGTCCCGATATCCCTGTTGGCCCTTATGGAGGCTGAGGTGAAATCAGGATTGCCAAGATCTCCTTGCAGTGCTTTATCATCCTCTCAATGTGGTTTAAAGACCTTGAGCCTTGAAGCACCAAGCTCACTGGTGCTCCTGGTCTCCCAGGAGGGGGTGTGTGCCCGTGGTGGCACAGACCCTCCTGTGTGAGGAAAGTGGGGATGATGTTGCAGAGAAGGGGAGACCCGCATGAATCAAGCATGACTGAAGCACTCCAGTGTGTACATCTGCAGCAGCTACACAACGTTCACAGAAAGTGGAGTTGCATGGTTGAACACTTGACGTTGAGGGAAGAGAAATCTGCATCCCTCCTTCTGTGTCGTCTTGTGCGTAGGTGTCATGGTGTGATCTTTGGCTGCTTCAGTTCAGCCTGGTGACTGTTTTCTGGAGCATCCCTTTTGTTTGCCACAGGAAAAAATCAGTCTTCATTCTTGTACAGGTTAAGGATGGGAGGTCAGTCAGGTAGACTCAGCTGATGAGTAATCAGTGCATCTCGTGGCATAGCCTGTGCTTTCTGTGTGTAATCACTTCTTAATTCATTCCACAGCCTTTCTAATATCTTTTTTTTTTCCCCCATTCCTTTGCAGCCCTCCCTTTACCCAAACCCCTGTTCCTGGAAGGAAGAGCCATCCCAAAGACAGTCTTGATTGCATGGGTAAGCACTCTTGGAGGTTTGTATTTGCTTAAAAGTATAAAAGCATGTAATAAAGAAACTGGAAAAAGGCTATTAGAGGGGTGGCGCTGCATAGAAAGTAATTAAAAACAATCAGCAAACCATCTCCATTGCTAAGGTTACACTGCAAAATGATCCTGCAATGATCAAACCTGAATGTTCTCTAAAATCAAAAGACCCAGAGCATCAAACATGACAGGGCTGCTCTTGTCATCATTAACCCTTCTTGGCTCTGCAGCAATAATGATAGCACTGAAGAACCTTTGGGCCTGGTTTGGGAATCAGTTTACAGCAACAACAGCCCAATCTGGGTAGCAAGGGTCTTGGAAGTAAAACACTGCAAGCAAGTAAAGCTGTTGAAAGGTCAGAGATGAGCTCTTTATTGGAAGAAGGTGCTGCGAGGAGGCTTGCTTTTGTATTTGGAGACAACTGGGAGGTGCTGAGAAGCTGGAAACAGCCTTGTGGCATCTGTTTCATCTCTGTTAGTACCTGTGAGTTGCACTTTTGGGATCCTGACTTCCTACATAGCAAAAACCGCATACCAAACTCTCTAAGGAGTTATATCTCTTCCACTTGCATTAATAATAATGTGGGATACTGCAAATGCTGCTAGAGAAAGTGTGTTGGTAACTTGCAGGGATCATAGGTTACTGCTTAATCACTTATAAACATCCAGCTGGTTAAATCATGGAAACTCTGTAGTATTGTAATGACTTTCACTATTAAAAATGGACAAATGGCAGTCAGCCTGTAGCATGATAACTCATTTCTGGCCTCAGGCAGGATTTCTAGATTGAAATGAAGCTGTAGTCAGGCCATGTCGCTGAAGGTTTTAATACATCCCTAGTGGTAGGGGAGGCATTTTGGTTTGAGACGCCACTCGGCATCGCTGCTCACACGTGGCTCACCGAGAACTTCTTGACCTGTCCTTGTTACTTTTCTTGCTGACCATATTTCAGCCATTATGCGCTCTTCTTGCGCACTGCTGTAATGGGAAAATCATGCCGAAGCGTGACCAAGGCCAGGACCGGTCTCCAAGGAGCGGCTGCTGGCCCCAGGCTAAGACAAACAAACAATCAGAATGAACTGTGTCATTAGAGTTGGATGGAGGAAAAACAGGAGCTGAAAGATGGGGGGGGAAATGACAGATATTTTAATCTCAAGTTATTCAGTGCTACCAGCAATGGCTTCCTGTGCTGCATTTTTCTGTTAAAAAAAATGTCCTTATCTCGCATGTCCATCCATCTCTCTCATAATCTCCTGTCTAATCTAAAGTCTGATGGTCTTTAATCCCTTCTGTATATTCTAAGTCTGTTTTACTAGCATTTAATCAAAGTAAATATGAAAGTTCAGAGCTCTGGGAGGTATAAATTGGTCTGTGGCTTTCAGAGATCAGGAGTCGTATCTGAGAAGAAAGAGGGGAGGGATTGTCCGGTGTTAGCCAAGTGCTGGATTTTTTTATTTCCCTGTAAATAGCTAATATCAAAGCAGAGGTTTTGGAATAGATGGATCTGGGCCTGACCCTGACTGGCAGTTCGTGATGATTTTTGTATTTTCTATGCACGAATAAGATGTTTAGTGCTCTGCCTTGGAATTCAGGCATGGTCTATGTTGATCCCCTGCCCTGTATTTGAACAGTGTGGGCCAGGGTCCACAAAGTCAGCAGTTAAACCTCTTTGCTTTAGGGGGACCAAGACCAGTGTGTCTATTATTTTCCACTAAGGAGTGTGTGACTGTGGACAGATTTCATAGTGAGCCTCAGGGAATGTATGGTTGTGTGAATGAACAGCTTGTCACCTCATTCTTCCCTGTAATTCAGCATGAAGCCCAGAATGCTTTCCCGTAAAAAATGCTTTGGGCATTTGATACTGAGCTGATCTCAGAAACCTGTCTCTTCTTCCCTACTGACAGATTTCGACATCCCGTTGTTCTGCGAGAGGTTTGGGAAAGGTGGGACCTTCCCAAGGCAGTACCACCTCTCCCAAAGTCGCAAGGACTACAGTGACGGTAAGAAAATGATGGAGGGGTGGGGAGGGAGGTGCTCAGTCCAGGATCTTGGTGGCTTGTTACAGTGCCTAGGGCAGGAGAGAACTGAGAAGGAGAATTTTCTAATAAAAGAAGAACCAAGTAATTTGCGATTCACTTGCGTATTCTGAAGAGCATCCTCTGTGAGACCTTGCAGGCCTGCTCGTGGGAAGTGCTGAGCACCTACAGCATGTAGGAAAGTCAGCGCTCAGCTCCTCTTCTGTGTATACCCAATGTTTTGACTTAGCCACATGGATGGGTAGCATTTCTCATCCCTGGCAATATCAACCCTTCTGTTCCCCTAAATCGCTTGCTTTTAAGGATGCAGGTTCGTGACCTTTACAGCAGGTTTCTCACGGAGCTGTACAAAATCCCCCAGAGATTTAAGGGTAGCAGTATCTGTTCACATCTCTGTTTTAAGCTGGTGAGCTCTGAGCTTTGGGGACCACTCCATCACCTCATTGCTGCTTCTCACGCTGTATGAGACTGGAAGTGGTGGGAGGCAAAACTGAGTAAGAATCAAATTCCCTTGGAAAAAAAAAATACTGAGGACACACAGACAGCATATTGAGCCTTCCAGAATGAACTTCATCTCTCACGGACACCATCCTTGCGCAAGCAGTTATGACGAGGTCTGGCATTGCTAGTGTGGTCATTTGTATTGTGGTGTTAGGGGGTGCCAGGGATAATTTGCAGTGTAAACCCCTGCCTGTTCAGAGTTTAATTGTGATTAACAACCAACAGAAACCCTAATGTAATTAAACTCTTGCAAACCCCTCTGAAAACATCTGCATTAGATGTAATGCCTGCTGTTAACAACTCTTAAATTGAGTTAAAAATGTTCACAGGGCTTTGCTTCAGTTTCATTACACTTGTTTTGTTTAATTTGGAGATCACTGGATCTGGGCAGAGATGTGAGAAGGTGGTGACAGGTAGATCCAAGCTGGCGTGTGCGTTCTTGCTGTAACTCTCCCTCTTTTCTCCCACAGGCCGGAGGACTTTCCCCAGGAGTTACTTCCCACAGGAGAACCTGTTCCAGCTTGTCCCTTCTAGCCGAACCAAGAGCTTTAACGGGGACAGCAAGCTCAGCACCTTGCAGTACGACGAGTACAGGCCCAAATGGTGGAACAATTGTGAAAAAAGTCTGCAGGTCTTCAGCACCTCCCCTACGAAAGCTCGGAACTGTAAGTGAATCAAAGCTGCTAGTGCCTGAGGACTCAGTACATCCAGGTCTCGAGACAAAATGGAATTATCGTGACCTGCTGTGTTACTGGGCATCAGCTCAGCTATCCATGTGGGAATGTGCTTTGATTCCACCTCCAGCATGAGGCACATTGCTCTAGCTATGTCTCAGTGAGGAAGATTTAATACAACACGCTGTATCTTACCTTGGCCGTGAGCTGAGAGCGTGTGTGGGGTCAGGTGGTGTTCATCGCTTGCTGAGTTGCAGAAAATTCCTTGTGTGGTAGACTGTCAGTGTGCTCATGCAGCAGAAGCCTCCAGAAGAGTTGGGATGTGGGAGCGAATGCATCCAGAGGCCCCATTCTTTGGCTTACACTGGTCAACCCAGGACCCAAAGATGGTGTTGCAGGCTGCTCTGGTTTTGCAAGACTGCTCATACTATAGAAATTGGTGCATTCTGGGCCTGGTCAGTGATGGATAACAACCTAGGAATGACTAGTGAGGTGAAACTCTTTGCTGATCCCTGCCTGAGTTGCTGCTCAGCTGCTCAGCTGTATCCTGCTAACCATTCCCATAGCAGAGGAAAGTTCAATGTTAGCTAAGAAAGCAGTTTCTAGAAGAATGACTCTAAAGAAATTTGACTTTTCTGTCTCTTTTTTCTGCTTTATACTAGTGCAGACAAAGAGACATCCCCACACACTTGGGCAATTAAAACTGGTTAGTTGTGGTGCTCCTGGGAGCAGGTGGCTCGCTGCCTGCCCCGGTGAGCTCATTGCGAGCCTGATCTGCACTTTGTGGGGTCAGATGGACCCTGATGCTGAAGTCTCCTTACTGTGCTCTTCTCTCAGCTCTCTCCTCTCTTCTGCAGCCCTGCAGGCACCTGTGAACTGGAGGCTGGGGAAGCTGCTCGGAAGAGGAGCTTTTGGGGAAGTTTATCTCTGCTACGATGCTGACACTGGCCGGGAGCTGTCGGTGAAGCAGGTGCCTTTCGACCCTGACAGTCAAGAGACGAGTAAAGTGAGTACGAGGGCAGGACGGCATTCTGCATCACATTGTGGGATTGTGGGCTGGAGGCTGAGGGTAGAGGTGGCAGAAAGGTCCGTTTCCCTGATGGAAGGCAGTGTGTAGATACAATGTGTGGTGTTTGCCCTCTTGGGAGTTGTACCCAGTGGATTGTGGCACCAGTCAGCATGCTCTGGTGACTTTTCTGCCTCCCGATCCCTTGGTCTTGTTGGCCCACTCTGTCTCAGGTATCATCTCTTGCAGATCTGTCAGCTCTTCCTTAGTTTCAGCTTTGTTCTGTTCACCTTCTTCCTCCTCTGGGCACTGCTTTAGCTTTGCTGTTGTCTTCATTCACACCTTGCCAGAAGAACTCCTTGAGCAAAATTAAATAAGTAAACCTATCTCAAAGCCAAGCCCTGTGTATCCCATCTGTCTTTCTCCTTACCTTTTTGTCTAGGGCAACGCTCCTCATTTCTGAGCCTTACGTGGCTGATGCTATGAAAAGAGTGTTCAGCATTGAGCAATATTTGGATAATATTCCCAAAGTAACAGCTCCCTTTTGTCACGAAGCATGTCTGTTCTGTTGCAGGAGGTGAATGCCTTAGAATGTGAGATTCAGCTGTTGAAGACTCTCCGTCATGACAGGATAGTGCAGTACTATGGGTGCTTGCGGGATCCTGAGGAGAAGAAACTCTCTATCTTTGTTGAATACATGCCAGGGGTAAGTGTGGTTCCTGCTAAAGATTATCCTGAGAGACAGAGAACAGATTTAGACTGCTCTGAAGTTTGGTGAAATTTGGATCTGGAGTTAAACTGAGCTGAGCTGCTCTATATCTGATGAGCCAAACCTAAGGCTTGGGAAAGCTTAGGTTGTGAGTCAGGTGTCATGATGAAGCCCCTCAACGTGCAGCAGGTGAAATCAAAAGCCTTGAAAGCAGGTCTTAGGCTTGAATCCTGGAGCAGGGTGCGTTCACAGTCTGAAATCTGAACTTGGTGAATGTAGGACATGATCCAGATCTGGCTCCAAACGCTATGGCCTGAGCCCATCCTTAAATGTTTATTGCAAATCCCTGCAGGAAAAACTAATAGTACAACTGTCCACCCACAGCTGTCACCAATTGTTTACGGCTTTCAGCACGTGTGTGTTCAAAACAGTGTTACTCACTTGTAAGTCTTCTCCTCTTCGGGACAGAACCTCTTGCTGGTAGCATTATCCTCTCCTGCAGGAGTGGCTTCAGTTTGTGACTTTGCTGATAGAGGATAAAATATCCCTAGGGAAAAGAAAGATCAGGAAGCTTTGAGGGAGTCTAAGCAGGGGCTGGAGAACGTACACAGATCAGCTGAACATCTTTGTTAGAGAACATGTGAGTTACATCAGCCATCTAGCCAAACTCATCGGTTGGTATAAACCAGCGTAACGCTATTTACATTGCAGAGGATCTGTTCTCCTAAGTCCCGCCTGTCCAGCTGGATTCATTCCCCAGAGTGTGGGAGAATAAACCCTTGTTTATACAGAGATTTGTAAGGTCAGAAGGGACTATTAAGTCATCTGGTCACAAATAACTGTGGTCATTAGTAAACGTGCTAGAAGCTCTTGTAACATATCTTGCATGTGAGTAATCAGGTGGACTTCATGGGTTTGTGTCCCTCCCAAGCCCTGTCCTCCCTCTCTCCCTCTGGGCAGGAATCTCACTTTCAGGCTTTACCACGAGGTGTGACCCCAGAGGATTAAACCCCAGAAGTTTCAGCCGTCCCCTTGCTGCTTATTCTGCAGCGTGCTGATATTTGTTAGCAGCCAGGAAACCAACATTTGATGCTGGGGCACTGTCCAGCAGGGCTGGAAGTTGAATGTTTGTTTTTTTAATGATAAACCAGAGCTCTGACCAAATACAGATTGACTTTCGTGCTGCAACAACGGCTCATTTCACAAAAGCAGCTGAGGGCTTTGGTTTCCAAGGCCAGTGGAAGTGAATGAGTTCCCAAACCTTGTAGTACAGCACTTCCACAGTCCTGGGTCTGGCCAAGCGTCAGATTTGACACAACCAGCTTGACAAAATCTTCACAGGGCCAAGCTTGGGTGCACCATTAGCCTGGTGTTCTTTTGTTTGCCCCCATTAAGCAGCTGACTCTGTATTTTCTGTCCTGCGCTGCCCATGAACTATTTTTTTTAATTCGTGCTTGGAAAACAGAATCGTGTGTTTGACCACAGGCCTTGAAGACCCTGTTTCCCCTTCTTGTTTGATGTCCCCCCATCAAGGTGAGGGAGGCAGGGAGAGGAAAGTTTGTTCGGTTGTGAGTGAGGGAACATATCCAACGTACACGTTGTACAAGGAGGTAGTTTCAGAGCATCTTAGGTTACTTCAGCAGCACTGTGACAGGGAGAGGAGAGACCCATCCACAGGATCAACACCATCCTCAAAAGAAAGCCAGAACAGTAGCTGGGCAGAGCAACAGCGGAGGTGGGTGGATGTGGAAAAGCTGATCCAGTTCGAGTGGCTGACTTGGAGCAGAGCAGCCCACTGTTCCCAGAGCAGAAGGACTATGGCAATCTCGGATCAACCCCAGAGCTGCGGCACAGGCAGAAACAGGATGAGTTTCCCATCCTGCTTTCCAGCCAACCTGAATACTGGAGGTAGAGCTGGATGCAGCCTCTCTGGTTGAAACCCAAATAATCTCTGCATCCTTCCTTCTTTGATCGATAAAATCAAACCAGCAGGAGCCTGCATGCCTGGGTCAGAAATTCAAGGCTGCGTACTTACAAATTGTCTACTCTGGGTCTTCTTGTAGAAGCTGTCCCATGTGGGGCTGATCATGTCCCTCCTGAGTCTCAGGGCAGCAGGTAGTCCTTGCTGCAAGAAGTTGTGAGGGGAAGCTTCATACAAG